ATTGTTTGCGTATAACACCCAGTGTTCCATGCAGAATGTGACTCACGCCTTTATTTGACAAAGAAAGTATAGGTCTCGGGAGCGGCAACTTCAACTTGCAGGAGTTGATAAGTTCGGCCCACTGCCTGGTTTTGTAAATAAAGTTTTATTGGAACACAGCCACCATTCATTTATATATTGTTGATGGCTCTTCTGCTACCATGGCAGAACTGAGTGGTTGTAACAGAGACAGTATGGCCCACAAAGTCTACAATGTGTAACAACTGGCCCATTATGGAAAAAGCGTGAGGACCTGTGGTCTAGTTTAATTACATTGTTTCATTTTCAGTGTATGTATTCTACAATACCTGCTGTCTACTGTGAGTGATAGTTTTCCAGTGATGCTGACAGTAATGAGTTGAAGTTAAAAAAAGAACCCCCCAAAATTAACAAGTTACTATAATAACACATTAACAAATTAATATAATCTATAACAAATAACAGAAGCAGACCACAGCTGCAGCCAAATCCTGGATGTAGCACATATATGACAAACACCGGATTATGGGAGTAGGGGAAGTCGACAGAATTGAGAACGGTGCAGATAAAGATGGGAGTCTGGGGACTGGAAGAGCATTTCATGGGAAGAAGGGACCCGTCACCCCTGGTCCACTGGTTCTGTGCCCATCAAGGCTGGAGAGAGGGCTCAGCGTGTCCTAACTGGACTCAGTGGGTATCAGGGGACTCAGGAGGGCAGGGAGCTGCAACCAGGTGGAGCCAAGATCAATAAAGGGGAGAGATGCTTGTGCAGGAGAGTCGATGGTGGAACCCTTCCAACCTGGGGTTTTCCCTACAGACGCATCGGGGCAGAAAGAATGTAGACATCAGTGACGACCCCAACAGGAACATTTTGTGTTACAGTATGCTGGTGCTAAGCCCTTTACACCTACAAACTCACGTAATCTTTCCAGTAACCCTGAGAAGTAAGGGATTATTTTGCAGTAAGGAGATCAAGGCACAGAGAGGGCAAGTGACTTGCCCAAGGTCACACAGCTAGTGAGTAGCACAGGCTGGTGTGGCTACGCCCGCCCAACATCTGAGCCCTGACACTCAGCCGGTGACCGGGCCTCGGTCATTCATAGAGTCGGGCCCGGGAACTGTGACTCTGCATCAGCTGAGCACCTGGCTGGCCTGTCCCTGGTCCCTCGGTCTCAGACTGCCCTTTAGAATCCAGGTCACGGAGACACTGTCATCCTGGTGACATCACAGGAAGATGACAGATCGTGGCTTTCCAAGGTGCCAGTCACCAAGAGGAGGCAGATCTGCGAGGCAGCAGTGGGAGGACAGACGTCTCTGAGCCTCAGGGGCGACGACAGCCCCCACAGCCCGAGAAGTCTCAGAAGTGGAGGCACCAAGGGGCTGGGCATCCTGCTGTGCCTTACACGCTGCGTTCATGGTTCGGGAGGCTTCACACATGCCCGTTGTCCTATGTTTCCCAGTTTTTGTAATTCTTGTTTTTTAAGATTTTATTTATTTTATTTGAAAGGCGGAGGGGGCGCGAAGGGGTAGCGGTAGAGGAGAGGGAGAGAAGCAGACTCCCCGCTGAACACGGAGCCCCATATGGGGCTTGATCTCACGACCCTGAGAAGGTGACCTGAGCCAAGACCAGAAGTCAGACGCTTAACAGACTGAGCCACCCAGGTGCCCCATGTTTTTGTAATTCTTTACATTGTATGTGTCACCCCTAGACATTATATCACTTATGTATCCTTAATTGTTATTCCTTATCTGTCTCCCCTCTTAGGATGTTAACTCCGTGGTGTCAGGTTCTGTACCTGATCCTATTCCCAGCTGCCTGACACGCAGTAAGTGCTCAGGAACACTGGTCTAACTTAAATCCCACCTCGGCTGAGGCTTCTAAGTGTGTTGGGGTCACTCAGGGTTACCCATCTGCAGAGGACGAGCTCCTTGCCTTAGTGGACAAGGGGGGGCAGCCACAGAGGACGAGCTCCTTGCCTTAGTGGACAAGGTGGGGGGCAGCCAGAGCCCAGCAGGGGCTCCTCAGCTTCTCTCCCAGTGACATAGGAGGAAGCAGGGCCATCTCGTTCTTCCTGGTGGCATGGTGGGCCACCTCTAATGGGGTGCCGACTTCATAATTAATGTGTTTTGGAAAGCTCGGTTTGCAAGTCTCAATCTTCTATCTACACTACAGCTAAAGTCAAAGGATGTCCAAAAACAAACAAGCTTATTAGCTCTTGTTACCAATTGAATTGTGTCCCCCAAAATTTGTATGTTGACATCCTAACCCCTAACACCACAGAATGTGACCTGGTTTGGAAACAGATGCAATTAGTTAAGAGAGAGTCAAACTGCAGTAGAATGCACCCCTCATCCGATATAATTGGGGTCCTTACAGAAAGGGGATACTCAAGGGCGCCTGGGTGACTCAGTCGTTAAGCGTCTGCCTTCGGCTCAGGTCATGATCCCAGGGTCCTGGGATTGAGTCCTGCATCGGCTCCCCGCTCAGCGGGGAGTCTGCTTCTCCCTCTGCCCCTCCCTCCCCACCCCCCACCCGTGCTGGTGCTCTCTCTCTCACTCTCTCTCGCAAAAATAAATAAATAAAATTAAAAAAAAAAAAAGAAAGAAAGAAAGGGGACATTCGGACACAGAGAGAGACAGGCATACAGGAGAATGATACTTGAATAGGAAGGTGATGTACCTACCAGCCAATGGATGCCCAAGATTTCCAGGAAACCCCCAGAAGCAAGGAGGGGGGCAGGGAACGGAGTCTCCCTCCCAGCCCTCAGAAGGAACCCACCCTGCTGACACCCAGATCTCAGACTTCCAGCCTTCATTTCTGGGGTTAGAACCTCCAGTTTGGAGTTCTCTGTCACAGTAGCTCCGGGAACGTCACACGGCGATTTCCCACAGTGGCTTGCTCCCCCTGATGAGGGGACAGGTCAGGAAAGCTCTGTGTGCGAGGAGGGGGGGCAATCCTTGTTCCAACTGAGCCCCCCAATCTGTGCCATGTCTAGTCAGGTGAGGGTTCCTGCTCGCGACCTGCCCTGGCCTGGGCTCTCCCTGGCACTCTGTGTCCCCGCGGCCAGTCACGCCCTGCTGGCTCCCCCTGTCGCCACCTCCTCTCCCAGCGGTCCCACTCCAGGGCTCCGGTCTCACCTGGCTTTCCACCGACCGCCCCGAGTCTGTCCCAGCTGTGTAAACATCCAGAGCGCTTCACACGCAGGAAACGAGACGTTGGGAAACAGGAGCAGGAAGGACCCTGGGGTGGGGGCGCTCAGGGCTCTCACACGCTGGGTGGTCCCCCTTCCTCCCGGGGCCCACCGCTTGCCCCACGGAAGAACGGCCACATGGTGGGAGGAGGGAAGGCAGGCTGCGGAACTGCCCAACTGTTCTTCCCAAGACGCCCTCCTAGCCAAAGCTGGCAGCAGGAGATGGGGAGAGGGGGGGAGTCAGCTTCTCCAGCACTGGGAGGTGCTCCTGCATGATAGCTAACTGCCTCGGAGGACATAGCCAGAAAAGGAAGCAAACACTGGCTGGGAGATTGCCCTCGGCTACTTCTCACTTGGAGATGCTCCAGATTGGCTACTTGGCTTGAGTCAAGTCTCCTGATATTTCAGATCCTAAAGTCTGTAACACAGGGGGCACCTGGGTGGCTCAGTCCATTGAGCATCTGACTCTCGGTTTCGGCTCAGGTCATGATCTCGGGATCATGGATCGAGCCCTTCATCGGGGCTCCCAGCTGAAAATGGAGTCTGCTTCTCTCTCTCCCTCTGCCCCTCTCCCCCTGCTCACATGCTCTCTCTCTCTCTCTCAAACACACAAATAAAATCTATTACACATAATTGTCCCCCACCTCCAGGAGTTTCTTCCTAAAAGTTTCTCACTCATCCTGGCCTATTTTACATTAGGAAACAAAGTTGGAGGCACCTGTTTATTCTCACCCACTGGGGAAGGTGAGAGAAAGAGTGGAAATTGCTTCTTTCATTTGTGTGGGGAAACCGAGTCCCAGAGAGGTTCAGCGCGCAGGTCAAGATCCCACAGTGAGGGCGCCTGGGTGGCTCAGATGGTTAAGCGTCTGCCTTCGGCTCGGGTCACGATCTCAGGGTCCTGGGATCGAGTCCCCCATCGGGCTCCCTGCTCCTTGGGAGCCTGCTTCTCCCTCTGCCTCTCTCTCTCTCTCATGAATAAATAAATAAAATCTTTAAAAAAAAAAAAAAAAAGATCCCACAGTGAATCGGGGACGTACCCTGTGAGCGGCCAGAGTGACAAGACCACCGTGTTATACATAAGCCCTCAGGGATGGGAGCAGCGTCCCTGAGACAGGAGGCAAACATCAATTCCGCTGGTCTGGAAAAGACACAGAGAACCAGGTAGACCTTTCCTGACTTGTGCCTGCAGCAGCCTGTTAGTCCACGCCCAATGTCCAGAGGCCTCCCCTTCTCCCCTGGTCTGTCCTTTCGGTCACTTTAATCTGTGGGGTGAGCTTCCCTGTGCCGGAAGCCGGGTCCCCGGGTCTTCAGAGTAGAGAAATGCACAAGACACACCCATCTGCTCTGGGTCTCTATTTGGTCTCTAGCCCTGACCAATTCTCACGGCACAATTTCAAAATCTATTTATGTCAACAAACTCCCTTCCATATCTTTGTCTTAAAAACCTCCCTTCTGCGCCGGGAAGAGTAGGGCAGAGGGGTGAGGGGGACAAAACCCCCGCCCTACCACAGGAGATGAAGAAACCTGCCGGGACTCGCCTAGGACTCGAGAGTCAGCACAAGGCAGCGGACGGCCCCTCGCTGACGCAGAAGATCCCTCCGAGGGCACCTGACTCCTCCCCTGCCACGGAACTCGGTTGCCTCAGTGATGACCAGTCCCATTACCAGTGATGCCAGGCTGTTTGGGTCGGGACTGTTCCTGAGTCAGGAAGCAGTTAAGAAGCATCCTGCCCACTGGCTGCCATGCTCATAAAGGCAGACCCACGTGTACTTCCTTGTGGATCCAGACAGCCCGACGGCTCCCTCATTTGCTCACACCCCAGCAGCGAGAGCGAAGGTTGCAGGAGGCAGAACCACCACCCACCCATGCAGATCAGCCCTGGGAGTGCAGCTGGGCTTCTGCAGCTCCTCCCGGGCAATGCTCCTGGGGAGGCGGTGGGGAAGATGCAACCCGGGGCGCTGTGCATTCCTCCTTGTGTCAGCCCTCCTGCTCGACGCGGTGGGTCTGGTCCTTTTGCTGATAGGCATCTTCGCCTCCCTTGATTACTGGGACTTCCTGGTCTACACGGGGGCCCTGATCCTGGCTTTCAGCCTGGTGCTCTGGATCGGCTGGTATTCCTTCAACATCGAGGAACCTCTTGAGAAACTGAACTTGTAGTCTGGCCGTGGGCAGAGGAGGAGGGACGCAGGCTCCGTGGGCACCTGACTCTGAACCTGGGGCTGTTGGAGGAGCAGGGACATGCTTTCACTCCCAGGCAGAGTGCCCCAGCGGGGACGAGGTGAGTGCACGCGAGGCCGGCCTGGCGGAGCGGGGCTTCTGTCAATCTGGGCTCCAACTGCACCTGTGCCAGCCACAGGTGTCCTCTCCCCTGGGGCCCTTCATCCTTATGGAGGCTAGAAAGAAAGAGGGTCTCCACGGCCCCCTCCACGTCCGATAGGCCATGAGTGGTCCCGCTATGCAGAACAGGAAGTTACTCCTTCAGCTCAGAACTTGGGAGAAAGGAGCCCGTCTTGATTCTCTGTTGGGAAGGGTCCAGCAGCGGGGCGGTGGGGGTTGGGGGGAGACTTTAGCCCCGGGAGAGGATGGAAAGCTCCCTGGTGGTTGATTGTGCCCTTGCATGGAGGGAGGTCGTGCAAGCGGGACTATGGCGGGAAACCACCCAGAACGGCCCTCCTCCCTTGCTTCCTCCCCGCATCTGCGGACGGGACATGCCCCACAGGGGGAGGACCTACCTCCACATCCCCTCTCAGTGCACCTGCCTCCTCCCCACACTCCTCACACACACTCCATGTCCCCACCCCCCCATCCCCCCACCCACCCCGCCACGGCCGGCCTGAGAGACTCAGAAGTCAAGAGACCGTGGCGGACCATTCCATCAACCGAGCTGCACCTCCCAGCCAGGCCAGCAACTCGCTTGACTGCATGTACCCAAGGATGCAGATAACTGTACGATTTTTCACGGGGACACGAAGCACCCAGGATAGGGCTGGCCTGGCCCCACAGCCCTGCATTATGTGCAGCTCTCCCCAGGAGACTGAGACTAGAGCCCTGCTTGGGCTGATGATCGTCATCCCCTCCTCCCCCCGTGGCCAGGAACCTGGCACAGCTGGGCACTCCCTTTCCAGCACTGGCTGAGAGGATAAAGGTCATGGCTGGGTTGGAAGGAGGAGATAATGATCTACGTGGCTCTTCTGGGGGATTCCATCTGACCCTTGGAATGGAGAGACCAGAGCAGCAGTTTGAAGAGGTTTCCAGAGGGGGAGGGTAAAATCTGGTCCCAGCGGATGGAAGGAAAGGAGGTGGGGTGTCCGAGGGCCCGGGTCCCACTCCGAGTGGCACCAACTTGTTCACTGGGTGACACTGGACAGGTTGCAACCTGTCCCGAGCCTCAGTCTCCTCATCTGTAAAACGAGGATAATAGTACCCACCCTTGTTGTTGCCGTGGCCAAAAAGAGGGAAGACAGGAGAAGACTCTCTGCACACCATGTGGTTTTTACAAACGTCACATGTCCTTACCAAACATATAAAAGAGGGTGAGTAAACTGACCCAGAGTCCCAAGTGAGAGTACTTGGTACTTGGTGCACCTCAAACTGGTAGTGAGGGAGTCGGTTTACACCTCAAAGCAAGAAGGAACCTCTAATTTATTGGTTCGTTCCAAAAGGCATGCCAGGCACTGTGCAAGGCTCTAGGGATCCAGTGAAGGATAAGGTACATAGATCTCTACCCTCGAGGGGTTTCCCGTCTAGTGAGACAGAGAGAGTAATCAAATAGTCTCACTAATGGAGGCACAGTAAGAGTCAGGTGAGGACTAGGAAGAAAAGAAACATCACTTCACAGGAACAGTCCACAGAGAAGCTGACTCAGGAAGTGGAATCTTTCAGAAAGAGGCAATGGCTTGAGCAAAGGTCCTGGGGTAGGAATTTGGTCATTATCTTCAGAACAATAAGAAGTTATTAAAGAGATGTAAGTAAGGGTGGGAGCTTAACATAATTGGATCTATGTTTCCAAAAGACCACCCTGACCATGGCATGGATGATGATGGTGATGAGGGTGATGATCACCAGGTCAAGCTCATTTGGGGAGCTAAGCCACTTACCCAAACAACAAGGGGTCCCTCGTGTGAGGCTCCTTGTCCTTTACATCCTTCTCTCATTGAATAGAAAGAAGTTCAATAGCCCAGTGGTGAAGAGCATGGGCCAGGACCCAGACTGCTTTGAATCCAGCTTTGTTCCTCACTATGTGTCCCGGAGCAAGTTACCTCACATCCCCATGCCCTACTTTCCAAACCTGTAAAATGGAGATGGTGCTAATGACAGGCCTTACTTCAGATATGATGATCAGATTAGCTCCTACTCCATAAGGATGTTGCACAGATCAAGTAGGTTAATGTGTGTACGGCACCCATGAGTGATGATTAAATGAAACAAGGAGCACTCCATTGAAACTCTCACGATGCAGGTATCTGGTGCATTACAGAGGGGTAAGACCTTCCTCCAAGACAGACAGCCTTAAAGTGTTATGATCACTTCTTAAGACAGGGTATGGCATTAAAAATTTTCAGTAGGTATGAGAGAAAGGAAGCTCCCCCAGAACACCAGACTTTTGTCCAGGCTCAAGGGGGCTTTAAAAGCTTAAGACCCTACAGTCATGCAAATGTCACCTTCATCTTTTCAGTTCCCAAACTTCATGTTCTATGGAACCCTCAGAGCCTGCCTCTCTGGGTCCCTCCATCTCCTGCAATGCCCGAGGCTGGCCCAGAGTGACAAATCAGTGTGGGCTAGGACCTACTTACTGTTCAGGGGGCTGCCCACCACCCCCAGATGACCTTGGGCAAGTCACATTACTTCCCTTTAGAGTAGGGGACCTGGTCCCCATGGACGGTTCTAACCAGGCTCTGAGAAGACCCCTCAGGGGCTGGGGTAGGAGACAGCAAGCAGGCATGAATCCGGCAGCCCTACCCACCCCACAACACACACATACCCCCCAGAATAGTGGGGTTTCCTGCAGTTTTATCAACTGAACTTCCACGGAAGGCTTCCTGTGAACACAAGTTCTGATGCTAAACTGTATTTCTGAAAATGACTCATCTTGATCCCCTTACATTCTGTGACCTTTGGCCTGGGCATGATCTCCAACCACATTCATGATCTATGGGCAGTTTCTAACTGGCTCTGCCAGTTCTCTGATTCTCAGAATGGTGTCAAGGAAAGAGCATGGACCCCCCCTTAATTCAGAGCCCGATGCCACCCTTCCAAGCTCGTCCTTCAGTCTCAGGACGATGAGTTTGCTAGAACACCCGCACCCCCTCCCCAAACTAGGCGGGTCGCATCCCTGGCGTGAGGTCGGATATAGAGCTCGGGTCACCCTGGCCTCTAAACCTCAAAGTGCCCCCCCCCAGGAGTTTCAGAATGCGTGCCTTGTGTACCAAGCTAGACAACCCACCATCTGATTTTATCACTCGGTCACTATATTCTCGCAAGATCTGTTTGTTCCGTGTTCCGCCTGCTGGGCACTTCTTAGAGATAGAGATAAGCCCCCAGGCAAAGTCAGGTGAGGACTCTGATCGTTTTACTAGAGGGTGTACAGCTACACGCCCCCCAAACACAAACACACACACCCTCACACCTGCCACACACCTACCAGAAATGCACGCTCACAGAAACAAACGCACACCCACTCGCCCACTCTGCAGCGACCAAAGCCCAAGGGCAAGGAAAGCTCACAGCCCCAAGCCCGGGAAATTGAAACCTGTTCCTCACCATCGACATTTCCCCATGTGCAGACATCCCCTCTGCCCACAGAGGGGCGGGTGGGGCTGCCAGGTTAGCTCAGGGTACAACACGCCAGCTCAGCTCACCCAGGCCACGTGCAGACACGGTGCTGGGGCTGCGTGAAGGGCCAAACATTTCTCGAATCTCTGGAGGAATGTTTAATCTAGAGGGAGAGATAAAGCAAGTACACAATACTTCATAAAAGTACACGGAAAATGCGTGCCTGAGATAAGCTCAGTCTCGCACGGGGCTCTGAGCGCCCAGTTGAGGAAGAAGAGATCTTGCTGGCGGGGAGGTGAGGGGAGGGGGGGCCGTGTGTGGTTTCAGACATCTGGTCTGGGTCCCGAGGAGCAGGAAAGAACGTGACAGGCAGAGACGGCGCTTGGGGAGAGCTGGAGGAAAGGACTGCAGAAAGAAAACAGATGAAAGAATATTCTGGAAAAAGCGAGCAAGCACATGGGTCAGGGGTGTTCACCAGGGGACACTGGAAGCAAGACGAGGATTGAGATGTTTGGAAAGCGAAGAGAGACTTCAGGGACTGTAGAGGGACATGGCCAGGCTCTGCCTGTGGTAGCAGGTGCAGAACAGGTGTAGGGAGAGGTGTGGGGGCAGGGAGACCACTCGCGAAGCTCAGCGGTGGGGGGGGGGGGGGGTAGTGAGAGATCGACAGGGACTGAGGGCCATGGAAAGCAAAGGAGAGGGAGACAGCATGAGCGGACGGTCCGTCCTGGTCTCTTGCACGCGAGGGAGGTGTCAGAGGTTTCAGAAAGCCTCGCTGTGAGTGCGCCAGTTGGGGGAGGTCGGGGGTGGGCACAGGTCTGCTTAGGAGGATGCGATGATGCGTTTTCCTTCGCATGCGCGCAGAGATTGAGATGCAAATGGTGCATTCGAGCAGAACTGCCCAGTTGGCGTGGAATGTGCAGATTTTAAACTCAAAAGCAGATCAGGCAAGGAGTTGGAGGTAGGGGTTGGAGATGGGAGTGTGGGTGAGATTGTGCAGGCTGGGGAGGTAGAGAGAAAGGGGAGGAAAACTGGGTGCGGGGGAGTGGGGAATAGGAGGAAGGGAGGAGGAGGGGGCAAGCCTCAGATTCTCTGAAGGAGGCACCGCATGTGATCCCACGCCCCCTAACAACAGCACCGCAGAAAGCATCAGGATTACTCCCTCTTGCAGATGAGGGTATCAAGGAGCACAGAGTCTAAGTAACTTGTCCAACATAATGGAACTAGCGAGTGTGGGCGCCAGGTTGTGAAACCGGGTACACCTGCCCCATGGGCCATACCGTTTCCACCAGACGGGGCGGGGGGGGTGGATGGCAAAATCGGGCCCTTCTCCCATTTTGTATATTGAGCCGTCCTGCAACACAGCCAGGCGCACTCACTCCTGCTCTATCTACAGTGCCTTAGGCCATAACGACAGAGCCAAGTCATCCCAACAGAGACCATACGGCCTGCAGCGGCTACAGTATTTACTATCTGGCATCTTATAGAATAGTTTGCTGACCTCTGGCCTGGCCATGGTTACTTCCCATGGGAGCCGAAGTCAGAACCTTGAGCCATGCCTGCTTTTGGGGGAGTGGGAGAAGGCAGGCAGGTTGGGAAGCCCACA